ACTTCCCGACGCTGATTGAAGCGCGTCCACCATAGACTTTGCATGTAAACCTGCTGCTCCTGATGCTGAAATCGCGTTTGGTGTGAACGCACCATTAATCACTTAAGAGTTCTCTGGAGCAGTCTTAAATATCAGGGTAAGAGTGAACTTAAGAAATTTTCAGCACTTAAGTATAAAATTCCACTCTGAGAAGTTTGATAAATGCAGGCCCTGATCTGCTGAGACTTTTTCACCAAATTTCAAATATATTCCACCAAATATATTCTTTATCAATAGCTTCTTTTAGGAGTGTTTTGAAGACCTGAAATAAAGCAGAAAAAAAAAACACTTGTGTTTTTTAGGTCTTCAAAATATTCCCAAAACAAATAATTAGATTTGGTTATGAATCACCTCTAAAGTATCAAATAAATAAATAAAAAACCTGGACTTCGGTTCTCTAGTTGAAGACTTTTCGTTTTCCATCTGGGGATTCTCATTTCAAAACTGGAGAGTGGGAAGCAAAACGTCTTCAACTACAGAACAAAACTTCTGTTAAGTTTTTTTTCTTGTTTTTGTTTTTTTGATAAATCATATCCTAATGACTGAGAATCTACACCAGCAACTTGTGTCTCCTTGCTAAAAGCAAGTGTTTTATTGATCATGTTTAGAGGTTTTCATTAGCAGTTCTCTGCCAGGAGCTCCTTGCCATTCCTGTACTAAAACATCCTTTGTAAGCTTTTTGTATAATTTTTCAACTTGCATGTGTTTCTGGTATAGTATTTATAAGTTATTTTTAAAATAAATAAAACAAGCCTTACATTTGTCTTGTCATGTTTATCTGATTAAAGCTGTGAGAAAATCTGTACCCTATTAAGTCAAATAGTATGGGTTGTAAACACAACATTCCTAGATAATTTTTTTTGACATTTCACTTTAATTAAAAGGAGACACTTTTTTTCACATTTAAATCATTTAGATGGGATCTATATGGCAGTTCTGTCACAAATACTGTAATGTAAAATTACAGGAAACTATAATTTTTCTGCACTCTTCAAGAGTAATACAACAAAATACATTTAACAGCTAAAAAAGTGAATTTTCCATGACCTGCCCCTTTTAGATGATTCTGTAGCACCCCGAGCGCCCCTCGTTCCCACAGATGGATTCAACTGCATGCAACAGAACAAGTCTCAATACAGGCTGGCTTAGCAGATAGCAGCTTTATTTAGAAATGGTTACATTCTCATCAATTAGTTGAAAATGTCAGCACAACCCTTCGTCTCATATTGCACTACCACAATTTTAGAGGGTTTTTTATCTTATTTGTTCTGATAAATGTAGAATAAATCAAAAGGGGGGAATTAATTTAAAAGGTCCCGGAGCATATATCCTAGTATTTATATCCCAACAAAACAGAATTGACTCTTTAATGTTAAACTGAAGCAGCAAAATCTTGATTTTACAAAAAAATCAGTAAACTGTTTTAGGCTAAGAGCTTATTGAAATTTTATTGAGGGGAAAAAAATAAGGGTAATAAATAGTGTATTTAAAGTTTAATGTACTGCTCTGATTTACAGAGTCAGAGAAACTAGAATATTTATTCCAAAATGTATCTTTTTAGCAGTTTTATCTTCTAACCCGATAAATACTGCTTGATGGGGTTTCACGTCTGGATCCGTATTGGCCAGTTGTTGATGTAATGTGTTTGTTAAATAAGAACAGGGAGGCACTATGGTCGCTGAGTTCTCCTCTGAAACGGGTTGCTTCCTGTTCCACAAAGAGGAAGAAACAGAGACAAAATGCATCACAAGTCTGTTCTGTGGGCACCAGGGAACTGGTGATCCAGTCAAGGTCCAGCTAAAATGTCATTTACTGCCAGCTTATTTCAGGTGCTTTTAATTTGGCCCAAAAGTTCAAAGAACACCCTAAAAAGGGAAAAACGTTCACGTCGAGGTGCGACGGCTGTCCTGCACTTTGGAGAGTCGAATCTTCTCCGGGTTCCGTTCGTTTGATGCGAAGGTGGGCAGTACGAGAGCATGGAAGAGTGGCGGTCCTGGAACATGTCACGGCAGCTCGGAAAAGGTGCGGTTGGCTTCTTTGAGACGACGGCTAAAAACGCGGAGCATGCAGCCGCGGGTTTAAGCCTTCATCAGGGCGCCGACCACGGCGCGGGCGTTGAGGCTGCGCAGGTCGTTGTAGGTCTGACCTGTGCCCACGAACACAATAGGCTGGCCCGTGATGTAAGTCATGGAGATGGCTGCACCGACCTGCGAAGAGGTGGAGGACATGACGCATGAAGCACGATCAGCTTTCCAGCTGCCTAATATTTATTGTTTAGAAGAATGACAAATCAAAACATTTGTAGCTACTGCATTCAGAAACTTGATTAGTGAACGTTAAGATGGATATCGTTACCTTATCATCAATAGTGTCGAACTTGGTGAGAACGATCCCGTCTATGAGGCGGGGCTTGTCGGACATCGAGTGGTCAGCCAGAGCCTGATTAAACTTCACCTGAGGACACGAGGAGGAAACAAACAGAATTATTCAGGTGAAACTGGACCAGGCTGGGATTAAAATGCATATAATCAAGTGTTCAGCTTAGTGCTGTTCTGCAGAGGAGGAGAGTGTGGGGAAAACATCTGACTCAAAAGGAAAGCAGAATGTTGGAGCTATGCTGACCTCTGCTGGACAGTTTTAGCATCAACACTCCTCTGAACTGTCTGATGCTTTTAATATTTTACTATTCTTAAACTAGACTTTGTTATTACAGTTAATACTAATAAAATAACAAAAAATGAATATGAAAAAAAAATTTGTTAACTTGAATAAAAACTAACAAAAAAATTTAACGATAAAACAGAAATAGATTATCTTGCACCGTCATATACATTTATTTATTTACTGTACTATACGGTATATATGTATATACGTGCATATTGTATATGTGCACTGGTATATGTACATTGTTATATATCACATGTGTATGGTGTGTTTTTATTTCATTTATCTCTATTCTATCTCACCYYYYC